ATTGCTAGGAATGTTTTCCAATCAACTTCTGTTTGGGACTCACACTTTGATCAACTTTTAGACTGACTCTGCACCACTCAGGGATTTAAGTGTTTATTGAGGAGTTCCAAGAAGAAAAGTGACAACAGCTGACTTCCGTTTTACAGTAGTCACTGGTTGCTATGGGAAGAATACAATGAAGGTGTGCAGAAGAAGATTCTGCTTGTAATTTGTTGGAGTGATGCATATGAGAAACTTGGCTCAGAGTGGTAGCAGTGACTTAATTTAATATTGGATCTATGACTTAAAAGTAGAATCAAGAGCATAGTAATAGTTTAGGTTCATATTTTAAGATAATGTGCAATAAGCATATTTGGTTAGCATTGGGTTCAATGGCGACTATTATAGCAATTCAGAAGTGAAGTACTGAGCTTTATAAATATTACAGAAGAAAAGGATGAATATTACAAATGAAAATATAGAATACTACAAATGAAATGCTGAGATTGTGAAATGACTCCAGATTGGATGCTGATGACTGAATATGTAGGGAGAGAAGGAAAAGAAAGCTCTAGGAAAATTGAAGAGTAAATGAAAGAGTAAAGTATACATTTTTAAAATCTTCAATTTAAAATAAAACACATACAATAACAACCATGAAGTCCAATCTATGCCAGGCATTAGTGAAATAGGCTTTAAAACCATATGCCATCCATTTTAGAAGCATTTCCAAAATGAAGATATAAGTGAAGATCATGTCAGCATATTCTAATAAGATCTTAACAGTTTTTCGCTGATTAATATATATATCTTCAAAAGCCTGTGGGCAAAAAATAGAATATTAGTCTTAAACATTTTTCTAAAAATTTTTGGCCTAAAGAGTAATGAATTTGGTCTCATAATTGTTCTAAACAATGTTCTAAAACCCTTCTTTATTAATTATTCCAGTTAACATACATGAAATCTTTAGCTACATCTGACATGAAAGTTATCTCTCAATTCAGAAAGCCGACTCCCACATATGTCAATTGCTATAGAATCTCAGAGATTGAAGAAACCGATAATATGTTTTCAGAAATTCAAACTGTTAATACAAGAAAAAGCCATAGCCAATTTTGCTGTAGGAATTATATGGCAAATCAAGAGAAACATATGAATATGAAATAAAACTTTGACAAAATTTCTAAAGCCTCTCTGTTCTAATAGGTCAACATTAATTTTACTGAAGGATATGAAAATTTTGGTATCCTGAATTTGGATGCTAATATCATTTAAATCATTTGCATAAATAGATTCTTGCACTGAGAGAGAGAGACAAGAAAAACTATATATAATAAAGCACATATAACCTCAGTTAGATACTCATTATCGAAGTGCATCCAAGAACAAAAATAAGTATTAACATAATTTTTAGTAAAGAATGGTGTGATTCTTAAAAAGACCCACCCTTAAATATAAATAACTATGAAATAGCAACAGAATTGCTGGCTTGTGGATTTAGCCAAAAATAATAGCAGTGTGGAAAATCATGCCACAATTTCTATAGTGATAACTAACACAAATAGACAAAAAAAATCCGTTAAGATTACACAACGGAAAACATACAATAACAAATTTGACATAATTGTTCCCAACACCAACAAATGGCACAAACTGCTCAAGTGCATATGGAACATTGTAGTGGACGCTGGTGTTGCCCAATCAGAGCCCTTTATCAGCAAATCCACTAAATTCACATCTAGTATGAACGTAGCCTGATAGCAGACAATAACGAGCCTTTCTAGAAAATTGTTTTTATCAAACAAGAGCCACCTTGCCCAAGAGGCAACCTTCTCATTCCTGGAAGGGGACAGTTCAGCTAATGGCCAACAGCCAGATACAAAGGTCAACAACCTCTCTTGCTTCACTCAAGGTAGTACTAACTCTGCTGTACATTCTGGGCTCTTGAGCTTATCTATAGGATCAAACTGAATTTAGTTTTGTTTTAGAGAATCTTAAATGAGGGAGCTGTCTGAAAAAAAAAAAAAAAAACGCTTGTCATCGTTAAGGTCTGCTCACACTTCTTCTCTTAGCCAAATAAAGTCAAATCTCTATAATCTGGCTGGGAAAGTACTGAGACTGCTAAAGAGAAAGATTAAACACCAGAGGACCTGCAGGACACCGTAACATGTAATGGAAGGAAATACTTTCCTATTGCTGCTATAACAAACCTCCACACATTTAGTGGCTTAAAACCTAACAAATGCATTCTTCCAGAGTTCTGGAAGTCAGATGTCTGAAATCAGTTTCAGTGGGCTAAAGTCAAGGTGCTGGAAGGACTGGCTCCTTCTGGAAACTTTGACAGGAGAAACCATTCGTTGCCTGTTTTCAATTTCTAGTGGCTGATGGTACACCTTGGCTCCTCAAAGCACATCACTCCAAATTTGCTTCCATCTTCACATCATCTTTCCCCCCTGATTCTGACTCCTTTTATTTACTTTTTATAAGGAATATGCGATTATATTGAGCCTACCTAGATAATCCAAACTTATCTTCCTATCTTGAGTTCCTTAACTTAATAGCATCTGCAATGCCTATTTTGCCATATAAGGTAGCATTCACACTTTTAGGAATTAGGATGTGGATATATTTAGAGGACTGTTATTCAGCCAAAGGAGCTCTGGTAGCATATGGTAGTTACGAATTGGGCTGTGAACCTCAAGGTCAGCAGTTCAAAACTACCAGCTGTTCTGTGGGACAAAGATGAGGCTTTCTGCTCCCATAAAGATTGACAGCCTCAGAAACCCTGTACAGGGTCACTATAAGTTGGAACTGACTCCACGGCACATCACCACCACCACCATTATTCAGCCATGGCCTATATCAAAGAGGATAGAATGTAAAGTTACATAAATGAAGACTATATTGATATGGGTATACTCTTTAGTGACACAAGCTTAAACACCTTGGATGATCCCAAGATAATGGTTTAAATAGTGTGGGATCATTCTCAGAATCTTCAAAAACTGATAGCCTGCACGAACTGAGGTAGACATACCAGAGATTCCATTACAAACCATTCCGTATTGAATAGGTATAAAAGGATGTAGCATAATAAATCCTTATTTTGTCTGTCCATATTGAGTTTTGTTTCATATATGAAACTTTGTTGAAATATAAGTACTATGTATTTATTAAATTCTCTTTTCCCACAGCCAGTCATATATTAAATATATATATATGTATGTATGTATGTATTTTTACTACTGTGTTATATACAGATTTTCTAAGAAACTGTAATATACAGTTTCCAGAACTAAAATAACAGAAGGTGAAATTTGGTGCTCTAAATACTATTCTAGAGAATAGTAATTTGGCATGATGACTTTCTGCATTAAGAATATTATGATACTTTTTTTTCCCCATAAAATAATCACACATATGGGTTGCTCACTTACTAGTGCACCTGTGCTGAGCAGGGTAACCAGACCAATAAAACACTTAAACCAGCTGTTTTCTACTATCTTGCAGCAAGTTTTTCTTATATTCTGCCAAATTTTTCCTTTTTTGGACTGTCTAATGATTTGACCAGATGAGGAGCTCCGTCCATGACCTGTCAAGAATGACACTGTTAAGTAGCAAAACCTAGAAAACACATGGAAATACAAATATCTCAAAATTTCTACTATCCTTTTTAGTAACAATTTATTTACAGATTCTGATGCAGGTAGGTCATTGATTTAAAATCACTTAGTTTTTACCCATTCTGTACTGACCACTATAGAGGAAACAAAAATAAATTTAACTTGATATAGGAGGGAAGTAGTTGTGAAAGGCAGAGATGATTTAGAGCACATTCTCATCTCCTCAAGAAAAGTCTAAGAATAGGACTTGTCCATCAACCCTACCAAAAAAGAAAAAAGAAAAAGAAAATAGACGCCCATACACCATCTTGTAATTGTCATATTTTGGTATAATGTCTGAAACTTTACCTCCTGAAAATTCACTTGAGATGTTTAAAGGCATATTATCAATTAAGTCAATTGAATTGCTTTGGTCCATTTTTTTAGTTGGCATAGTAATAAGAATTTTGACTAAGACTCAGGAGCAAACCTGGATCATTGAGCACTTTAAGGGTAGGGTACATCAACAGGGAGTGGAATTACATTTTCTGTCAGCAAGGGTAGCATAAGGAAAACCTGGGGTTGGAGAGGAAAGTGATAACAAAGGGGGGAAATGAAGAAAATGGTGGTGGGTTGAGTTTCAAGCCAAAGTATTTGATTTCAGAACTTGGAGTAGTGTCAAATTCTATGACTCTCATCAAACAGATTTAAGAAGTATTTCCTCCCCTGTCTTAGATGTTACAACTCCTAAACCAACCCAAGCTAGTGTGAGCAGATTCTTATTTTGAACATAGGAATTTGAGCATTTAGCAGTTAACATTTGACAACCTTCCAGTGATTTCCGTATATCCAGAACATGTAGTAAATCTTTTTAGGAACCACATTTTAATTATAAATAATCAAGAGGTTTAAGTTATATGTCTAATAAGTCAGCCAACTGAGTGAATCTTTATAGATTTCTTAAATTCAATGCAGAATATCAAAATATACTACCACTGTATGACTTATACTATTTTTCCTATGGAGGTTATCAGATATTTTCATATGCGTATTTGAAATATTGACTTTTTACATGAGGTAAAAAATATTTTATTTTACTTTAACAAATAATCATTGTCTGGTGATGTATTAACTACATTTATTATAAAATAATTACTTATTCTGATGCACATGTAAAATAGTTATCAGTGTTAAATGAAATTGGAATGTTGTGTGTACTTTTCCCAATATTTATCCTAGCATGAAATATTTGTTATGAAATGAATCTTGCTAGTAATATTCCACAGATGTAACATCATATTTCTCTTCTGCATTAACAACATCAATCATTACCTGTATAATGATGATAATGATCGTGTGCTTAATATGCACACAATTTGCCAGATTCAAGCCCTGGTCATGCTGTGGATTAGACATGGGCTACTAACCCCAAGGTCAGCAGTTTAAACTCATCAGCCACTGTGCATGAGAAAGCTAAGGCTATCTGTTACTGTAAAGACTTACAGTCTCAACAACCTGAGATGGGGTTGTTATGCGTTAGAATAGACTCCATTGGGAGTTTTCTTCTTCTTCTTTTTTTTTTCCATTTGTCTAAAATTATATGGGTTTGTGTGTACACAGAATGATACAATGATATAGACATAATTTAATTTTTTAAAAGATTTATGTCTTGCATTATGCCCATTTTACATATCAGGAAACTGAGTTAAGAGGTAGATTAAGTCAGTAAAGCCGAAAAAGGTGGTTAGGAATTGAATTTAGTTCATCTTGATTTTAGAGCCAACACTCATAATTATTATTGAAGTAGGCCCTTACCCTCATTCTAAATGTTGGTTTCTTTTCTTGGCATTTATTAGTGTCTTATAGGACACATACACAGATTAATAGCCAAGTTAGAAAATTCTTTAAATTAAAAATATATCTACTAGTATTATTCAAATTAACAGAAATTTAGCCTAATTTCAAAATAGTGATTAAACTAACGTGTTTTTCTTACCACTTCTAGGATGCATTGGCTTTTCATGTTCATAGACTATTTCTTCTTCAGAGAGAGCAATATCAACTGTACTGCATTCCGATGAGCTGGATGGCTTTATTTTCTAAAAAAGTAAAAAACCCATGAAAAAGTCATGATTCAAGATTCATTTAATCATTTAATGAGAGTTTATTTCATTTTCAGAAGAAACAGTATGTTTAGAAAGAGTATTATTAGGTTTAAATGATTTTAGGACAATCTCACCATTTACATTGAAATGCATACAAAATTATGTGAGTTGAAATCCCTAAACATTATTTTAAAATACTTAAGATAAAATAATTCTAGGTGAAAATTAACACTCCCACCATGAAGACATAAAGACACAGTGCCATTGAGTTAAATCCAACTCGCAGCAGTCCTATATAGGGTTTCCAAGGCTGTAAATCTTTATGGAAGCAGAAAGCCTCATCTTTCTACGGTGGAGCAGCTGATGGGTTTGAACAGCCAACCTTGTGGTTAGCAGTTCAGTGCTTATACTGCAGTGTCATCCGGGATCCAAGACATAAGCTATCTCCAATTTATGAAAATATTGGAGCTCCAAAATTTTCTTGCTAGAGATTTCTGTTTTACACAAGGTTCCCACTTAGAATTTTTCATTTAGCTGAAGTAGTATAAAAATATGATATTTAAATCCATCCTACCTGAATTTAGAGATCATTTCAAAAATAGCTTGGACATATTAAACACTAATGACTAAAGATAAGACATGTTGTGGAATGGCATTAAGGAACACCATACATGAAGAAAAATTTTAAAAATCATTTAAAAGGCAGAAAAGAAAGAAAATAACAAACTGGATGGGTCATAACAAATTATTGATAACACTATGGATGGGAATTTAAGAACAATTTATTGTCCTCATGAGGAACCTATACATATACAAAGAGGCAGTAATTCTTACAGAACATGGGGATACTGTGTGGTTTCATATCAGGAAAGGAGTGCATCTGGGTTGTGTCCTTATACTATACTTGTTTAATCTGTATACTAAGCAAATAACCCAAGAAGGTAGGCTATATGGAGAATGCAGCATTAGGTTTGGAGGAAGAATAAATTAACAAAATGCAATATATAGATGACACAACCTTGCTTGTTGAAAGTGAAGAGGATTTGAAGCACGTACAGATGGAGAATGGTCAAAGACTACAATACAACCTTCAATATAACATAGACCTCAACAGAAAATAAAAATCATCACAACTGAACAAATAAGCAACATTATGATAGGCAGAGACCATATTAAATTTGTCAAGGATTTCATTGATCTATAATCATTGTCCATGGAAGCAGCAATCAAGTAATCCAAAGACATATTGCATTGTGCAAATCTGATGCAAAGGACCTGCTTAAACTGTTTAAAAACCAGACATCTTTTTGAGGAGTAAAGTGTGCTTGACCCAACTATAGTATTTTCAATCACTACACAGGAAAATCAAGCAATAAATGAAAAAGGTTGTAGAAGAACTGAGGCCTTTGAATTACAGTGTTGGCAATATACTAGGAATTGCAAGAAGAATGAACAAGTCTTTCATCGAGTATACCAGCTATATATCATGAGTCCTGGTGTGGCACTGTGGGTTAATGTGCTGGACCGCAAAGTCAGTATGAACTGCAAGATTGGCAGTACAAGCTCACCAGTTGCTCCTCAGAAACCCTATACAGGGTCACTATGGGTCAGAACTGACTCAATGACACTTACAACAATATATACCATAAACTGTCAGAAGAATGAACAAATCTGTCTTGGAATAAGTACAGCCCGAATGTTCCTTAAGAGTGAAGATGGTGAAACTTTACTTCACATATCTGGACATTAAGAGGGACCCGTTTCTAGTCAAAGATATAATTTTGGTAAATTAGAGTCAGCAAAACAGAAGAACACTCTTAACAAAATGGATTGACACAATGGCTGCACCAGTGGGCTCAGACATAGCAATGATTGTAAGGATGGCACAGGACTGGGCAGTGTTTTGTTCTGCTGTACATATAGGGTCACT